TTAATAATTTTATTACAATTAAGTTTATTCAATTGTTTTTTTGTGAAATTACTCCACTAGTCTCATTGACTTACAATTATATGGACGTCGGGTCCGCGCTAAAAAGTGTCCGAACTTATAGGGCGTTAAAATCGTATACAGAGCGTCATTCACGCTTTAGTCTTCGTTTGTTCGACTGACAGCGAAGCAAGCAAAATTAGACAGTACTGCGACGACATTACAATTTAAATTCAACGTTTTAGTTTTTTCATATTCCTTTACATGTCACTACTTTTAAATAGGTTGACTTGGGACATTTTTTCGTGGTTTTTGTATTAGACCTGTCGTCCATTTATTTATAAGTCAATGACTAGTCTATTTATATATAAAATGACTAGTCTGTTATAATTATTAATACAAAGTACAAAGTACAAACACTTACAATATGACTAGACACTATGGTAACCTCCAACCAAATCTACCCACTAAACCCTGGTTTTTTAAACGTCGCGATTTGCCTAAAAACATCACTTCCACTATTATTCGTTTGCGCTTAGGCCATGTTTGCACACCTGTATTTTTGCGTAAAATCAGAGTTCGAGATCACTCTCTGTGCGAGTGCGGCCTGGAAGACGGTACCTTGGAACACATTTTTTTCAATTGTCCTAATATTGCTGTTCCACTTTATAACTTACTTTCTCCAAAATTCCCCCGCCCCATTAACATAAACAACCTCTTAACTTTAGTGTTCTCCCCCCATATTGTTACTCTATGTAAATTTATCCACTTAAATAACATATATTTATAAATATTGTTTTGCTGTTTTGTTTTACATTCTCAACTGAGTACTCCCGTAGTCCAACTTACCAACACCGGTTAATGTCCTATTAGAGCTTAGCAAAAAATTTTTTTTTGTTTCGTTTTTTTTCTTTCAACTGTGACATTGGCAAAATCATCAGTTCTCATATTGATGGAGCCATAAAAATAAAAAGTGAAGTGAAGTGAAACACTTACAAAAAAATCCTTCGGTCCGGCTGGATTCGAACCAAAGTCTTCTAGCTAACGTGGCAGACGGAACGAACTAGCGGACCTTACGAATTTTTCCATGTGCTTGTTGCAAAAAAGTCGTTAAAAAAACCAAAACAAAGGCCTGCAATAAGTCCATTTTGTGTAGCCAGTCGGTAGTAATAATTTACTAAACTACCTCACTGGTGAGTGGAACTCTGGCAGCTAAATCAGGAGGTTCCAGTTTACAATCGCGGGTAGGATCAAACAAACGAACTTTTAAATTGGTTCTTGTTTGAGAGTTCTGGGGGATATTGTTACCCAGTCTGTCAGCTATTTAGTGGCCGTGGAGCTCCTTGTGAACGAGTTCGTCCAGGGAAGTGCTGCCACCTTACCTATTTTTGCCGCCAAGCAGTATTGTCAGCATTACTGTGTTCCGGTTTTGAAGGGCAAGGAAAAGAGGGTGCTGGTAAAATTACAGGCACATGGGACTCGTCAACTTATCTCTCAGGGTGAGGGGCGCAGTGGGAGTGCTCCTCAGATCATTGCGATTTAAAGCTCTGAGTGGCACTGCAACTGTTTTGGACAGGCGTGTAGCTTACCATCAGGCTCACGACTGTACTTCATTCCCACCTCGAAGGGCTCCTGTGGTTACGACTGACCGTCTTCTGAGCTGGTTCTGGGCTGAGCGTTCAGAATACACGGGATTCTGCAGTGAGTCTTCCAACCTGACGTTCGCGGAATCGTAGTCATATACACACAAAAGTTAAATTGACATTTGATTGTCTGATATTAATGTAAAATTTATTATTTCCAGCAAATCCAACATCAATACAGAGGTCGACTTGGCACCACAGGCCGGTACTGGGGCAGTATGTCTGAAGGGGGCGGAGTCTCGTCCGCCGGCGGCGACACTGGCAAAACCAACCTCATAGTCAACTACCTCCCGCAGACGATGACGGAAAAAGATCTATACGCTATGTTCATGACCATAGGACCTATAGAAAGCTGTCGAGTTATGAAAGATTTTAAGGTATTTAATTACTCTATCTGAAAATCTGTAGATTCTTAAGAAGACGAAATAAAGGCCATCCATCCCTGGCAACTCATCAGGCAAATGGGCCAAAAAATTCTAAATATCAACTCTCGTTTGCACTGAAATCACTAATTTGAAAGCTGTAACAGTACAGCACCAACAACTGATCTGTGCGTATGTCTCCGTATATTAAAAAAAAATCTGTTTTTATTGTAATAAAGTTAATATCTCCAACAATGGGAGGCTCTTCCATTCGGTGATGTGGAAAAAACAGCAAAACATCTAATTACAAAACAAATGGAATCACATTTCATCGGTAATTAAATATTGAATATGTATTTTTTAAATTTTCGTCCATTGTAGCAAAGTTCAAGTTAAACTGATCAATTTGAAGTGAAACAATTGACGACACCCGTCAATTCTTTCGAATTTGGGCTGGCCAATCGGAGCGCAGTTGTCACCGTAATGATTTGGCAGAATAGTTTTCAAACAAATTAAATGACATTTCGTCTCTATTTCTGGTTATATACTCGATAAGTCATATCGTTTAATAGCAGTAGAGTTCCTTGTGAAAGTTTCATCCAAGGAAGGACTGCCATCATACCTATTTCTGCCGCTAAGCAATAATGTGAGCGTTACTGCGTTCTGGTTTTGAAGGGTAAGGCTGCTAACAGATTGACTGCAAGTTTGCAGTTAATGCGTGAAATCGTAATCAACTTCGTGCAGCCGAGACCTCGACTGCATGAAGTCACATACTCGCTTCACTCGTGGTTCGATCTTAGAATCCTTCGTTTGCTCAGGTTTCAAAACAGGCACTCGCGTCAAACAAATTTGCAGCCTTGCATAAAAAAATAACTATTTTTTGCTCTGTTAACACTTTAGGACATGTAATTGTGACTCAAACTTAGGAGATGATTTTTTAAACTATTCACTATCTGTCTGTGATATCGTAGCTTCCCAATCGGATATTCCGATTACAATAGGGCGTTTGTGTTTGTAAGTTGAGACCTCGCTTTGAGATCTCGGAGAAAATCAATGAACCCGTACTGAAGTGGGAAGAAGCAAGAAGGTTTTATCCGTCTTTATTTACAACAAAAGTTTAAACTAACTTAGCTACTTTATTGGCTTTCAGACTGGTTACAGTTACGGGTTTGGGTTCGTTAACTTTACTCGAGAAGAGGATGCGGCGCGTGCCATCGACACCTTCAATGGTTACCAGCTCAGAAATAAGCGGTTAAAGGTAAAGTACTTAACAATATCTTTTTTGTTTAAAGCCCCGCACTAAGGAAACCCTGTATCGTGAGTGCCATGGACACACATATAGACAACCACAAATTATACCCAAACTCACGAGAGAAATAAATCCAGCATGTCAACCGTTCGCCAACGGAGGCAGTTCAATATATCGCACTGCTATTACAATGGTGTTGTAACTCAAAATATGTGAAATTCGAGATTGTTATCGTTGCTGAACGTAAAATTTGATTCTCTGCACGTCAACAAAACCGTCGTTAGAATATTGTAAGAAACAATTAAAAGATATCTACTTAACTCAAAGTGATACTAACTTTATGTGAGCTAGTTCTGCCCAAAACAGTCCTTACTCAAAAATATGACATTATTTTTTCGCTTAGGTATATTTTTAAATATATTTGGGAAGTAGGAAATTGTTTAGATGACTGTAATAAACATTTACCTGTACATAAAATAAATATTAATGGACTTTCTCGGGAAGTGAGTAATTCGTTTTTCATTGATTCTGAAAAAAATACACTTTTTTAGTTAATACACTATTGTATTTACAGCGATATAATCAACAAATATTAACATCGTTTTAATTTTTATAGCAAAGTACCAGAATCACACTTGGCTTCTAACTAGGGTATACTCTGTACTATGCGGACCACGTAAGAAATAAAAAACAAAGGAAGTGCCTAAAGCCTCCATTACTATGAGAACCGCTGTAGCCAAACCTCACACATTCATAATTTCTCATATCATATTGGAGTCTCAATCTATATATCCCATTAGTCTGACATTGTTATATATAAATATGTATATTAAATATATGTGTGTGTGTTATATATCGACCCCTCCTACGTAAAGTATCGTATGTCGAAATTGCCAAGTTTACAGGGGAGCGTTTTAAAGTTCTGAATTCAAAATGGGAAGGGTCAATATTATATATTTATATGTATATAGGTTGCTTATATAAGTATATAGTTAGTCATATTGTACTGTTTTGTGTGCAATAAGTTTAAATAAATAAATAATTTGAAATACTATGAAATCTTGGTAATGATTGGTCGTAGTTTCAAATTTACAAAGAAATAACAAATTGTGGACTATTAATGTAATTTCAACTTTACCCTGTCGGCACATCGTTGAAAGTTTGAAAGTCTAGTAGCAGTGAAAGAGTTCGTCCAGGGTAGCACTGCCACCTTACCTATTTCTGCCGCCAAGCAGTAATGTTAGCGTTACTATGGTCCGGTTTTGAAGGGTAAGGGTGCTGGTAAAATTACAGGTACATGGGACTTGTCAACTTATGTCTCAGGGTAACGGGTACAGTGGCAGTGCCCCTTAGATTTTTGCAATTTAAAGCTCTGAGTGGCACTGCAACTGTTATGGACAGGTGTGAACTTACCATCAGGCGCACGACTTGTTCGTCCCGTTACTTGATATTAGAAAAAAAATGTTCAATACTATCAATACCTATTGTTACAAATTACGACGATTTTATATTGCAATTTCAATCAATGTGCTGCCATCTAGCGGTTAATATCTGAACGAAGACGAATTCGAGATGTTTATTTAGTTCTGAAAAAAGCGACCATATTGCAGCGGTATTAGTACATAACTGCCAGTAGTAAATTCTATTATGATAACTAAAAATATGAAAATTGATTAAAATTAAATAAAATAAGACTTAGGGTCGTATTCCAGAACTGTACTCAATGCTCAAGTCAGGATTTGAGCAGACTTAAGTATGAGTTCAAGCACTGGAAATACGACCCTGATGGCAAGGACTTGAGTATGATTTTCAGTGCTCACTGCAATACTCAAGTCCTGACTCGAGTATTGAGTAGAGTTCTGGAATACGACTCTTAATGATGATAAGAAACACTACCATAGATAATATTACAAGTGCGACTATCATTTTTGCACTCCAATCTATTATTCTATTTATCTATTACTCTATCTATTATTAATCTACTATTTTCGAGGTTTTGCGCGAGATAATTGACACGACCATAACGTACAAAGCGAGAATGACTGAGCTGAAGTTTGCTGAACTCCGCGAACTGTTGGCTCACGTGACACTTCTACTGTATTTATTCTTCTGTGATGAGTACTAAAGCAATGAATTTAACTCCGAGACACTTGAAACTATTTTCACGTCAATACGTAACACATTTCAGGTGTCGTACGCCCGACCGTCGGGGGATGATATAAAAGACACAAACCTGTACGTGACGAATCTGCCGCGCGCGATCACAGAGGAACAGCTGGAGACAATATTCGGCAAGTACGGCCGGATAGTGCAGAAACACATTCTCAGGGATAAAAGCAACGGGTCGCCTAGAGGTGTTGCCTTCGTTAGGTGAGAATATCTGTCCATTTTTTAATCTATCGGCAAATAAGCACACGATGTAGTGAAATGTTTTTAATTGCTTATAAAGGTTTTTTTTTTAATTTAGTCCCAATGCCTATGCCTTATAAGAAGACTCAAGGTCACGCAATGGAGATGTTTGGAGTTTCACTGAAAGAACGAAACGAACGAAAAGAACTTACTCTCCGTAAGCGATATATACCAAACGTGACCATCTTTTTTTCCTTCAAGGCGGGACGCGTGTAAATTTATTGTTATTTTAAAAATAAAAAAACATGCTTATAATAGTTACGAAATGTATAATGAAATAATGATTTAAACAAAGTCAAATAATCATTTATTTCATAGGTAAAATTTTTACACTTGAAAACGTTATGTTTTAAGCTACTACTCGTTCACTATGTTGATCTCCCTGAGAATAACGAGCAAGAAACTCTAGGGATTGCTCTTTTCAAATAAAATTAAATGCTATAGAATACATTTTGAATCATATTTGTGTGGAATCTAGACTCACGTTGTCTTTTCATATATCTTTATCTAACACATAGTTAATGAAACTATTTTTCAATTATTTTTTTTTATTTTTCATTTTTTCAAACAAACCGACGTTTCGGGCCCTTTACAGGTCCCATGGTCACGGTTGACTGGTTGAAAAAACAAATATACGCGATTTAAATCCGGAAAAATAGTTTCATTTCCAATGTGTAACAATCGCGAAAACCTAAGAACTCGATAACACATAGTTTACAATTTTGTAATATGACTTTTCAATTGAAATACTTTTATTGTAACTTTCAAGCTTAGGCAATGGTATAATAGTAATAACCATAAAAAAAAGAATTTGAAATATTTAATGATCAAAAATTAAAATGAGAACACATCTTGTGTAGGCCTGTGGGTTTGGATTTATATATTTTTCGGACGAGTAAATTTACATTCATTTGTCGGGTTTAGCTTTTAAATACGTTCCACGGGCCGAGACCGGCACCGCCACCGATTCATTCCCGCGAAAAACACAATTGTGTAAAAGGCGCGGGCAACATGGCTAACTACGCTTTCGCGTCATTCGTTTAAATTCATTGTCACGTGTCCTGTTTAGTAAAATTTTGGGAACAGCGAGACATGAAGCTTAAAACTCACTCAAAGCGGGACGCATGGTCACGTTACATATACCCAAAGAATTGCAAAACGTGAGTGGCAGTGGACGGGGCACATTCCTCGCAGAACAGATAGCTGATGGGGTTTAAAAGTTAGACTCTGCGTGGGCGAACCGCCGACCGTTCACAAGGTGGACTGATGACGTGGTTAAGGTTGCGAGAATCCGCTGGATGCAACCAGCGCAAGACAGGGCGTTGTGGCGTTCTTTGAGGAGGCCTATGTTCAGTAGTCTTTGAGACTTTTTCAGCTGAAATGATGAAAAATATGAGCTTAAACACGATAATTCTGCTGTGGTGGAGTTGTATAGTCTGCAGACTGTCTTGCTTACAGCATTAGATCAAGACATCGAGTATATCACCAGAAATAGAGACGAAATGTCATTTAATTTGTTTGAAAATTATTCTGCCAAATCACTACGGTGATAACTGCGCTCCGATTGGCCAGCCCGAATTCGACACAATGGACGGGTGTCGTCAATTGTTTCACTTCAAATCGACCGGTTGAACTTGAGCTTCTATTTGCCGGCATTTAATGAAGTAAGGTACAAAATAAATATTGAAATCCAAAATGGTTTCCACTCAGCATTTAGAGTGACACGGTGACTTTTAGCAGCGATGCAAACGCGCGTTCGTGAAACGTGCGATTTCATTGAATCCCAATAGTAGCGATGCAATCGCGCGTTTATGTCGATGCTGTCGCGCTTGCATCGCGTTTGCATCCCTGCATAAAGTAGACGATTAGCGACTGCATCGATGCTGCATCGCGTTTGCATCGTGTTTGCGCCGCGTTTGCATCGCTCTAAAAATCGCCGTGTACGTGTGTAATCGCTCTTACATACCGACGCTTACTTATATTCTGTGCTGATATTCTGCTAGTATGTATTTTTTTACAGATTCGACAAAAGGGAAGAGGCTCAAGAAGCGATAGCAGCTTTAAACAATGTGATACCAGAGGGCGGTACCGAACCACTTAGTGTAAAGGTACTTGTTACTATCAAAAAATATTCTATCATATACGGAGCTTAATTCTGTGTACCTGTTTACAGTGGTTTATCTATAGATCTCCTACTTTTACAATTGAAATAACCCATTGTAAAGACAACCATGATGACCAGATATCGGAATAGAAGTGTATTTAGACTAAACTTTACAAGTAGTGCACATAGAGTTGATAATACCTCCCTTTGAAATCTTGGAATTATTAAATATATAATTTTACAGACAAAAGTTTTCATAAAATACATAAATTGTAGCAATAGCGCTGCTTGTGAAAGAGTTCGTCCAGGAAAGTACACGTTACATATTACTGCCGCCGAACAGTAATGTGAGCTACGTTCTGACTTTGAAGGGTGCTGGTGAAATTACAGGCATATGGGACTTTTCAGCTTATGTCTCAGGGTGATGGACGCAGAGGCAGTTCACCTCAAATCTTTGCGATTTAAAGCTCTGAGTGGCACTGCAACTGTTATGGACAGGCGTGTAATTTATCATCAGGCGCACGACTTGTTTGTCCCATCACTTCGTATTATAAAAAAAACCACTACTGTAATAAAGTAATCGCTAGTTACACATTAAATATGTGTCGAAATATGGGTATATTCCGGAAGGGGGAGGGATCAAGGGAGACGTTGAGCGAAATTCTTGTCACTGATAACATCAGTTGGTTGCGATTTATTCGTTTAACCACTTTTCCCAGTAGTTAGTTGGAAAGTACAAAAGATGGACAGGTAATGACAGATTTTAAATGTCATAGCGCAAATTCACAGAGAGCGGCCGCATTGGGTTGTTCACTTGCCAAAAAACTCATTGAAAATGTCAATGCGCGCTTGTTTATAAAACATTGGCCATTAATTATTTTCCTCCTTATTTTCATATGGCAACCCTGGAAACGATCGTCATGGCATAGGACCACGTCAGATGACTGTTTAAACTGAATAGCTTTAAACGACACTAATGCCGCGCGCCGTTCCCTCTGCGATCCAATTAGAACTGTTAAAGTGACATGACATATTTTGTAAACAAAGAAATCGTGATCGAGACTAGGTAATGGGATTTGTAGATAGCTTATTAGTTTCTCTAATAATTGGAAAACAACACGTAATGTAATAATATTAATTGCCTAGGTGGTCGAACGGTTACCATGCCGGACTGCCACGCACAGGTCCCAGGTTCGATTCCCGCGTCGGGAGAAAATATTTGTATGGCCTACATTTATTTCTGGGCGTAATTTGTGGTTGTCTATGTGTGTGTGTCCATGGCACCCGCGACACAGGGTTTCCCTAGTGCGGGGCTGTGTTGAGTGTGTGCGTTATTATTATTATAATATATTAGCTAACATTCATTATTTATTAAAGTAGTAAATTACGTAAACAATAAACCCAATTCTGTAAATGGCTCCGACATATACAACAACACAATAATTTTGGGATTTTAGTGGGAGGTATTATCCACTCTATGTGTATGTATTCCTTTTTTGTCATATCAAGTAACGAAACACATAAGTCGGTCGCCTGGTGGGAAGCGACACGAAAATAAATAATTAAATGTTGTAGTGCTACTCAGAGCTTTAAATCGCAAAAGTCTTTGGGGCACTGCACTGCACCCGTCACCCTGAGACATAAGTTGACAAGTGTCACGTAACAAGTTAGTTACCTTTCAAAACTGGAACACACACTGGTGACAGTACTTCCCTGGACGAACTCTTTCATAAGGAATTCTATTACTCCTCTATTCGTATTTCGATCTCTGATGATGTCTTTTGATGTCCCTGGACTTGAGAAAAATAATTTTTAAGATTCACTACTACATTTCCTGGTAGCATGGCTTATAAAGACCTCCTCACACTAGGAAGTTTGAAGCGCTATAAATTTAATTGTAAGGTCCATTATCTATCAAAGGAAGCAGATAAGAGCTCGGTGTTACCCACCAATAATACTTACATATCGCAACCTTATAAATAAGACAAGTGGTGTAATCATTCAAATGTAGACATCTGCTTATATGTTCGCGTAATCTCGCAGTGCACTCAAGTTACGGCCATGGTCGTGTAATAAGAAGAAATAAGGCCCGCGGGTTTTATTTGTCTAGAGTTTCTTGCTTGTTCTTCTGAGGGAAGTCAGCATATTGAACGAGCAGTAGCTGAAAAGTTAAGTTTTGAAGTGTAAATTTATTTTACGTATGGTATAAAAGATTATTTGACTTTGATTCAACTTTGACCGAACAGGCGGACGTTACACTACCTTGTTTTATTAGACTATGCCGTCGAGTTCATAACCAGAAATAGAGACGAAATGAGAGCCATCCGTCCCTGTCAACTCATCAGGCAAATGGACTTTATATCACTTTCAAATATCATCTCTCGTTTGAGCTGAAATCACGAATTAGAAAATTGAAATAGTACAGCGCCAACAACTGACCTGTGTGTACGTCTCCGTATATTCTAAAAATATTAATTATTTATTGTAATAAAGATAATATCTCTAACAATGGGGGGCTGTTCCATTCGGTGGTGTGGAAAAAACAGCAAAACATGACGACATACGTCAATTGTTTCGAATTCGGGCTGGCCAATTGGAGCACAATTGTCACCATAATGATTTGGCAGAATAATTTTCAAACAAATTAAATGACATTTCGTCTCTATTTCTGGTTATAAACTCGATGGACTATGCCAACCGTGAGGGATAATATCGTGATAAAACTTGTTGGAAACCATTTCTGTGTGGCGGAGAATGGTCTAAACCCTTTCCTTAGAGGAAGCATGTGCCCAGCAATGGAACGTATTATTTGTTGGTAATTACAATGCTAGACTATAACTTCTTCACTTGATTTGGTTTATAATGGACATCAAAGACCTGTGTCGATCGATCAATCTTGATGACCCAGGTCGATCAATACTCGATGATTCGATCATATGTTCGATGCTTTAGCGTGTCACTCGTCGCTCACCATTACGACTGCTCTATCGAACAAATGTTCGACCCACAGCAAACAGTGTATCCACAGCAATAAGAGTGAGATAGTGAACCGGCGCGTGGGGACCGTGAGAACGAACGAGGCAACAATAATATTGTCAGTTGTAGACCGAGTGTGATGTGAATTGTTGAAAAACCTCTAAAAGTATGAAGTCCAATTTTGCGAGCATGACCCGCACTGGTTCGAACAAAAATGAATCTTTTAGAGGCCTACGACTTGGGTTATTGGGTACAGTTCGAATCATTTTGATTCGATCGAATACGATGGACACAGCTCTATATTATATACGATGAAGAGTCATGTGTGTACTGTGATGTGTGTGAGCGAGATAGAAACAATAACATTTGTACGATGTCATCCCCAGTGTTGTCGTAGTTAGTAAATGTACTGCTCTTTATCAATGTCCTTTTGCTATTCTATATAGTGTAAACTAACTTGTTGACAAGTTTACAACTTGATTGTAAACTTAATGGTTGATTGGCGGGATGGGTCTAAATTTTCCTTCTTGTACAGCCTACCTGGCGAAGTCTGGATGCGGCTCTTGCGAGCTGGCGACCGCACAGTCGCAACCGACTACATAGCGACACTATGGTACCAACTATGGTGCGATTTTTAGTCTGTCGATCTCGGGACGTAACTGCCTTTATGCTTCAATTGCGTTAACACTTATTCAAACTGATACGTTTGCGCACATTTAAATTGGTTTTCCTAGAACAAACCGCGCGGGATACACGCAATTACTTAATCGTATACCGGAAATACGGTTTTCTCGCGGATTTCAGTAAAATATTTCATTAAAATATTTTTTTGTATATTTCCGAGTAATAAATGCTAAATTATGATAAACGGATTATTATTTTGAAAATACGTTTAAGCTTTTTGAGAGCAAATGATCAAACAATGAATTTAGTATTAGCGTATAAGGCAGTTATTTCCCTTATTTTTTTAGAAAACTTTTCTGCGTTCCATGTACATATGTTGCAGTTATTTTTTTTTTATCTTCCAAAGTAGTTAGTCAAATGGAAGCTGCTTCTACCTACAGTCGGATTTTTAACTAGAGATAACAGACAGCTAGTTGCTATTGTTACTTTGAATGAAAATGATGTTGCTATGTTTATTCTATAGTGATACCTTTGGTTCTCAAAGAACTCACTGAATCACTCAACAACTTGTTTATAAAAAAAACGATTTAGAAAATTTGTTGAATCTTCTATCTACTTGCCAAGTTTTATCGAAATAGATTAATGGAAAGTGAGTGAATTGAAAAAGGAAATACGATAAACTGGATTCATCCACTAATTTTCCACTCGTAGCGGTGGAATATTTTCTTATATTTTTTATTTATTTCATTCTAGCAATATAACCTCCAAAACTCCTCCTTAATGAAGGTCGATAGATGTTGAGTTGGTACTCTCACCACAAATTAATTAAAATTCACATTGTACTTGACTTACACTCGTATATACTCCACATATCCGCAGACTATGGAGTAATGAAGTTGTGACACGTATAACAACGTCTTCGGTACCGCTGGACGCAATAGATGATTAGGGTCAGTCGAGACGGTCGGTTATGAACCGGATTCATCCTCTAATCTGGCCACCCTTAGTGAAATATTTTCTTCAAATTTGAACGGGACCACTACTAAGGCACTTCTTTCCAACAAAAAAAGTATTATGGAAATGGTTCACATGTGTCGAAGTAATCGGTTAACATACACAAAAAAAAACACTCGAATTGAAAACTTCCTTTTTTTGAAGACTTGTAAAAAGAAAGTTTTTTTAACCTCGATTGTAATAAAGCCCCATGTTCATATTTTATTAAAAGTGCTTTTCTCACATGAAAGTTATAAAGATATATGAACTACATTTGACTAATGATGTATAGGTATCGCTGCTTTTCAAGAATCCAAAATAGTTCAGATTTGAATCATTATTGAGATTTGTTTAGAAAATACTAAAGTTTATTTTGAATGGGACACTGAGCGTAATTGGTTGAAATAATCA